ATTTGTTATTTTCAAAGAACGGTTCTAACGAGTTTTACCCCAAGGTTTGTATATTAAAGGTTGTCTAAGTTCCTATGCTGCAATACTTTGATTTTAGTTTGTGGGCGAGGGGCAAGAGCAGGAGTGTTTCGTGATGTAAGCGATCACGGATTGCGCACGCAACCTCATGGCCATATGGTGCTCCATGTATTTGTTTAATTTGAATTGCTTGGCGGTATTATTTTCCACATGTGACGTATGGTTGCGTACGAACCTAGACAACCTTTTATATATAAACCTTGGGGTTGGCCAAGCTCCTTGATAGTCCGAGCCATTTTTCAAAATTCGAAATTTTTCGCGAGCCGCAATTAAATATTAAAAAGGTCTGCAAAAAAGGTATTAAAAACAATTTTTTTAGAGAAATTATATTGTATATACTAAAAAAAAAAAAGAACCCCGAGTACATTTATCGAAAGCCACAAATAATCATTCAAAGAGCCGCAGTTTGCCCACCGTTGCTATATAGGTATAAAAGACATATGGGGTTTTGACTAAAGCTTCTGAGTTTGTAGTCAAACTTTACTTAATTAGTGAAAAAATTATTAGAAACTATTAACGACAAAATGTATTATTCAGTAACAAGAACATATTTTTAAAGTTAACTAATTCCATTTTATTAAATTTACCTCAAAATATTTATGATCTTTTTGGAGATCATGTAGGATGATGTTATTGATGGACATGAAATACAATGTATAAAGTTAATAATAACAAAATTTATTAACGTAAAGTTATTTAATGAAAGCAAGTTAATAAATCAAGAATCTAGGCTTTAACATATGTTAAACAAATAAATAGTATTTTCAAATCAATGAGAGTTTTTAAAATTTATATTTATAAGTTAAGTTTTAAGTTTTTTGTTATGTAATAAAAATTTTGAAACAAAATATCAATGTTATTTGCAAATACAATATTTTTACTGCATTATTTACCATGAAAGTACTGTAAAATTCTAATTGTATCATCTTTAATTTACTTGTAAGAAATAAACCGTTCACAATTTATACAGTTACAATAATTAATTACAAAAGAACTCAAAGTTTACATTCCTTAATAAACATTTCAATCAATATAGCGTATAAACTGCACATCAAATTTTGAAAACCCTGCTCAATAAAAAAAAATAATGATAATATACATTTCTTCATGTACGCCACTGTGTAAGTCTGATTTTGCCGAAACTATACACGCCACTGTCAGTGGGACCAAAACAAACACTTGAACGTTGGCTTCAATTCATATACGGGCGGGGATAGGCAATGCTGCTTCTAGTTATACAATTTCTTTGGCAAAACCATAGTAAATTTTTTTTTAATTACTTTACTTTTATCCACAGATTCAGATTTTACAATCAAATATATAGGCTGCGATTTAAAAAATTGGTCGTGACCTTCATATAACCTTGTCTAACCTAAATAAAGTCAAGGTCAAAAATGTTATCGTCATATGGTTTCCCCCTGCGCACAGAACAACTTGTATTCAATCTCGAAAACGGTTCATTTTACATAAAAATGAACCGTTTTCGAGATAATCGTTTGTCTCACGTTAAATGGACCACCTGTATAAATATATCTCTGTGTGGGTGGGACACAGATATTAGTTTTTAATACATAATGTATAATACAAATATTGTATTTTTGTTTGCTGATCGAATAGTAGGATGATTATTCATTTGTTGATTTATTATTTTTCTTGTTAGTTCTGCATTTTGCTGTATTTTTAAGATGATATGATTTTGCAAAATTAATGTCCGTGTAACCAGAAAAACCTTTTTTCTCTAGTTTAAACGCGAAACACATCTAGAACAATATGAATCAGCAAAGTTTGAGTTATTTTAGATCGTTCTATGTACATATTTTAATTCTTATTGGGTAATTTAAAAAAACTGACGCAAGTATTACTGACTGAAACTTCCAAAAACTTTAATTTTTAAAGAGTAAAGTGTCCTTTATAGAATTGTTGTAGTGAAAATAACAGATGTTCCAGATTGCTTTAGGTATAATAAGTATATACAGGGTGTTTCGGTGACTCGGGGAACAAATTTAACCACATATACTAGAGTGAAAATGATAACGATTCATGTAAAAAAAATTACAATACTATACAGGTGTTCCTAAAGTTTGTTTGATCACAACTTTTTTATTCCATCATAACCCTACATTTATTTTTGCAATTTCTAATAGTAAATTTAGTTTAGAAACTTTTATTACTCTTAGATAATATTGATAAAAATCACCGTTTTTGTGTTAAATGCAAAAATGTTGGGTTCCGATTTCAATAATTGCACTAAAAAAAAAGAAATCTAAGTTTTTGAACATTTCCTTTAGTATTTTTTATTACTTGTCTTGTAATTTTATGTACCTTTTTTATTATTCCTGTTAGTGTTGTCGTTTCTTGTTTATTTTTTGTTGATTGTTAATTTATTGTTTTTGCATTCTTCTATTAAACCAACTAAAACAAATTAAAAATGTGATTTAGCTAAATCTACGCTTGGACATGTTGCATACATATTAGTTATGACAGCGCAGTTCGATTTGCACTTGTCATTGCCAATTCAGATTGTTTATTTATTTTTTTTTTTTTTAGTGTTATTGTATTCTGAACCTAACATTTTTGCATTTAATCCGAAAACTGTGGTTTTTATCAATATTCTCTAAGAATGATAAAAGTTTTCAAACTAAATTTACTATTAGAAACTGCAAAAATAAATGTAGGGTTTTGATAGAATAAAAAAGTTCTGATCAAACAAACTTTAGGAACAGCCTGTATAGCATTGTTCCCGCGTACCGATCCAACTCAAAAATTGCCTGGTGATTTTACGTGATATTAGTTTACACTATACCAAATTTCAACGCTTTACCATAAATATTGTTTAAGATATTTAGAAAAATGTGTTAAAATTTCCTAACTTTGATGGCCTGTATCTTTACAATTTGAGGACTTTTACTAATTTTTTTTTACATGAATCGTTATCATTTTCACTGTAGTATATGTGGTTACATTTGTTCCCCAAGTCACCGAAACACCCTGTATTTGTAATATGGAATTGAAAATAGAAAAACTATGGTCACAGCAATCAACTTAGATTTTTTGGCAGCCAACCTATTTTTAGTTATAACTTCGTAATGATGTATCCCATAATTTTGATTTTCTAGAACAA